GGGGGGGGGGGGGGGCGGAGCTGTGCGGTGTGCAGAGAGGTATCGTAAGTTGAGGATTAGGTCGAGCGAGGTGCGGGTAAGGAGAGTGAAGAAGAGAACGAAATGGGGGGAAAACCCGGTGATGGGGCGTTATTGATGAAAAAATTGGTGGTGGAGCAAGGGGGGGGGGGGGGGGAGGGGGGGATGTGCGGGGCCGAACGGTTCCGGTTCGAGCTGCTGACTGGGGCACAGCCACGACTTGTCTACCACAATGGACGACCTCCAGAGCTCGGAGGAGGTATGTGAAGCAAAGAGGGCAGGTGCAGTGGATAGAGGTGGTAGTGTGTGTTAGAGAGGGAGTAGTGGGAAGGTAGGGGAGGGGGAGGGGGCTGTGTGGGCGTAGTTGGCGGGCTGGCCGCTGGCTGGGCTGGCTGGGCTGGTTGGGCTGGCTGGGCTTGTCGGAGGGGGAGGGTGGCGCGCCAAAAAAACCAACGGTGGTTGGCGGGCAGCGGGGAGAAGGGGAGGGGGGAGCGCGGCGGGGCAAGGGGGGTGCAACGGCAGTGGCTGTGGCCGGATTGGGTGTGTACTGAACAAGAGAGAGTGGTGTCGGTGGTGGTGTTGGTAGGCTGCGTTTGTGCCGGATGAGGTTGTGAACATCATCAAGGATGCGGCGGACCAGATCCTCGGCCCGCACAACTACCACCACTCGCGTGTGGCGCCGTGGTGCTCCAAGATTGTGGAGGAGGTGCTGAAGCGGCTTGCAGATCAGCACAAACCGTTCAAGTATGTGGTGACCACCATCATCATGCAGAAGAACGGCGCTGGCCTGCACACGGCCTCCTCGTGCTACTGGGACAACTCGACTGACAACTCGTGCTCGTACAAGTGGTCCAACTCGACCATGTTCTGCATCACCACCGTCTTTGGCCTCGCCATCTGATGGGCGGCTCGACGGGCATGTTGGATCGCAGTGCAGGAGAGGTGGTGGTGGAAGCGCTGGCGGAGAGTGGTTGAGGACGCAATTGAACACCAGTGTTGTGCGGCAAGCGGCGCGGTCTCGAGCTTGTGTTAACGCTAGCTGCGGGGGGGGGGGGGGGGGGCGGCGGAGGAACCTCGACGGCGGTCTACTCGCGTGGGAAAGCGGTGCTCGTCGGCAGCTCCTGCGCAAAGGACGAGTGTCCTTGCGGTTGAGGAGGCCGAGTCAGTGCGGCGAGCAGAGTGGCCGAGTGTCGAGGCTGGGCTGGCATCGGAGAGTACCGCTGGGGAGCAGAGGTAGCAGAGGGTGCAGGAGGTCAGGAGCGGATACATGCGCGCGGCGGAGCCCAAGCTGTTGGTTTCAGGTTTCCCAGGAGTGAGATTTGGTTGCTTGGTCGCGGGCGCAGGTAGCTGCTGGTGAGCATGAGGGCACGGTCTGCAGCGATGCGGGCACAGATGAGGTGATGAAGCGAGGAGGGGGAGGGAGCGACGAGACCTAGACCGGAATGACGGTGGGTTCTCGACAATGTCTGCCGAGCCCGAGCCGGCGGAGACCGAGCCAACAATCCATGCCGGCCAGCCGTCCTCGGCCTCGATGTCGGCGCAAAAGGCGGCGGCGGCGTCGGCCGACGGGAGGGCGACGAGCAGGCCACCCGAGGTCTCGGACGACCAGCCGTCGAGGAGCTTAAAGTTGAACTTGTCATTGACGGCCGGCATGTTCTCGATGACAGGGAGGGTGTGGATGGAGATGTGGACGGCAGCCTTCTGGTGCTCGGCGAGGTTGCGGGCGTGGCCAAGGAGGCCAAAGCCGGTAACATCGGTGGCGCCGTGGGCGCCGTGCTTGACCATGAGGGCGGCGCCGGACTTGTTCAGTCGCGCCATCGAGGCCGAGGCGAGGGCAAAGGCAACCCTAGCCTGGGCGGGGCTCAGCACGTCGGCGATAAGGTCCCAGTTGGAACCTTCCTTGCCGGCCTCGTGGTCGCCAAGCCACTGGTATGCGTTGACCGCAACCTGCGTTCCGATCGGCTTGGTGAGGACCATGACGTCGCCTGGGACGAGCGAGAACGGGTCGATGTAGCCGCCGTCTGACGGCACCACGGCCGAGGCCACGCCGCCGATGATGGGCCACGGGTTGAGCACCGTCTGTCCTCCCGTCACCGACGTTCCGGCCTCGGTGGCGAGGTCGTTGAAGCCGCGGATGAGCTCGCGCGTCACAATCATCCGCTGGTCCTTGGGCATCTCGAGCGAGGCGGCAAGAATCATCAGCATGGTGTCGCAGCGGGAGATGCCCATGGCAAACAGATCCGAGAGCACATTAGCGCACGCAATCCGCCCTTGCTGGTACGGATCCTCCACCAGCGGGTAGAAGTAGTCGGTGGTCTGGATGGTCACCACTCCCTCGATGGCTGTGGGAATGATTGAGCAGTCGAGCCCGATGGCTTCGTTGTCGATGGCTGGAGGAGAGGAGGTGAGTGCGAGGAGAAGACGCGCGCGAGTGGAGGT